TCTCGCCTGCCCAGGTGGGTCTTGAACCTGCGGGCTCAGGCAATCCACTCACCTCAGCCTACCAAAGGTGCGGGATTACAGGCTGAGCCACCGAACCTGGCTAATCATGACTTTTGAACAATCTGACCAGGCGATACGTTGGCTTCACGTGCGTTAATTTGTTCATACACCTCAGCTCTTGCTGAATATTCCTAACACCCTGGGGATGAGGTGGACAGTAGGCCCGAAGGATGCTGAAAGGGGTTGGAGCCAGAGATGGAAATAGACCAGCTCCCGGCCTGCCTCCCAGAGGCTGCAGCAATAATCAGAGGCTGGAGTGGCATCTGTGGATTTATGCAGGAATGACCAGCTGCAAAGCAGCTAAAGCCAAGCAGATAACCAATGCCGTGCAAGACAGCACTTCTTAGGCACTGGGCAGTGATCCCCAGCAGGAGGGTGGCCCTCCACCAGCAGGAGGGTGGCCCTCCACCAGCAGGGAGTTAGTTTTGTAGAATCCACCTTTCCTGGCTCAGTCGCCTTTCTCTGACCTGTGGGCGAATGTCCCCCTTCCTCTTCTTATCCACTGTGCCTTCTTTCCTGAGAATTTTCTTAATGGTCTTTGGAAGCCCCCACTTACTTATCTGCCATCTACTTCCTATCCCACATCTCCAAGGCACTGTTTTGGGGACCTCTACAAAGACCAAGTGTGTGTTTGGCTTACCGATAGGGTGGCGGGACCCAGCGCCCGCATCTTATTAGAGATGCAACTTCTTAGGAGGGAAGCAGTGCCAGCTTAGCCAGGACTGGATTGCGAGCTGAAAAACTGGAGACTTCACATCTGAAGATACAAGAATGGACAATTATGCTCCAAAGGTTAACAGGAGTCTCACTTCCTAGGAGACATGCTCCTGACTCCATGCGCGGGGTCAATAATTTTACTTCCCTTCGGTTCAGGGGAGAGCTGGTTTATTTTCACAGGCAAAGGAGGAGAAAAAAGCAAAGGGACTTGCATGGTAGTGAAAGGGGCACAGACAATAAGTAGAGAGAGGTGGCAGATCTAGAGCGAGAGAGTTGAGAGATGGGGGAATGTCTTGAAGGGGTTTTCCCCTGGAGGCGCAGGAATACAACATGCTCCTGTAACCTCTGGATTATTGGCAGCCACCAGCCAAAATTTCTTTCTGTGCGTAGCTGGCAAGTCCCTCCTTCCCGTCCTTCGGCCAAGCACTTTTCCTTTCATACCATCAGTTCAGAAGGAGCCAGCTTGTTCAGTTCTTCCTAAGTGCTTTATCCCTCTGTGTGTCCCTTCCCCTGGTGGCTGTGTGGGTGGGGAAGCCAGGCCCACCCGCAGCCTGACCCGGATCCTTCCGGCAGAAGGCCCAGAATAAGCCCCAGGCAGTTTGTTGGAGGCAAGGCAACCTGCCTGCTATAAGCTACGAGACTTAGATATATTCTACCAATTAGGGCACATCTGTTCAAAACGCTGAAAGGCGGGCACTGTCTCTTTAAGAGCCATCCCACTCCTCTCCTTGAGTGATGAGGGCTGGGAGCACAGGGGAGTCAGATGCTGATTAAACAGTCCTACTGCCGAGCTCTGTTAGAAAATTACTGTAATTATGATCTAGTCCCAGCAGAGGGATGAGTTCCAATCCTGCTAATAACCCTTCCAGGTGCCTCGGATTCAGGGCCCATGGGAGGCAGTATCGACAGGACTCTGGCTGGCACTGGGGCCGGCAGTGGCCCTCCTGTCTGGCCTGTGCTGGCAGAGACAACAATGGCACTGGACCCCGCAGCCTATCCTGGCCTCCTGGGAAGGCAGTGGCTTTTGGTTGGTATTTTGTTTTATGTATTGTATTTTTTGGTTCTTCACGGAGCTTCTGGGAGTCATTTTGTATGAGAAAACCTTCCCCTAAACTAACACGAAGGAACAGGAAAATTGCAGCTGAGAGCTGACTAGTCCAGTGGTTAAAGCACACGCTTCTAGAAGGCAGGGCAGTTTCTCTGTGCTTTGCCCTAAACATACCTCAAGTGCCAGACAGTGGCTCTCTACCAGGGGGGATTTGCCCCCAAGGAATACTTGGCAGTGCGTAAAACATATTTGGTTGTCAGAATTCGAAGGTGGGGTGGAGGGAATACTGGCATTGAGTGGGTGGAGACCGGGGTTGCTGCTGAACATCCCACAATGCCCCCAACAATGTAGACTCATCTGGCCCCGAATGTTTTTTTTGTTTGTTTGTTTGAGTTGGAGTCTCACTCTGTCACCCAGACTGGAGTGCAGTGGCCGCTCTCAGCCACCACAGCCTCCACCTGCTGGGCTCTGGCGATCCTTCCGCCTCAGCCTTCTGAGTAGCTGAAACTACAGGCACGCGCTACCACGCCCGGCTCATTTTGATTTATTGTAGAAATGAGGTCTTGCCAAGTTGCCCAGGCGGGTCTCGAACCCGCAGGCTCAGGCAATCCACTCACCTCAGCCTCCCAAAGGCGCGGGATTACAGGCTGAGCCACCAAGCCCAGCTTGGCCCCGAATGTTAATGATGCTGAGGTCAGAAACCCCGAATGAACAGAACGAAGTAATCAGCGCCAAGTTCCACCTCCCTACGCCTGGTAACATTAAAGAGGTGCTCTCAAATCTCTAGATGCTGGGTGCTTTCCCAGAGGTGGAATGTGTTGGTGACAGGCCAATGGGGGTGGTGGTGAGCATGTGCCA